CATATTATCAGTATAATGTATACCTATTACCAATAACAAAAACAATGCCTGAATTGACTGACAAAAGCTTATATTGATAAACATAAGCATAAAACGTATGTCAGTATATTAATTGTTTTTCCACAACCATACATTAACATTTCTGCATTCTATAACAACCTAGCTACTACAACTTTATTCTTATTCTTTATTGCCACAAACAATACAAAAACAAACACATACAGTCAACACAGGGAGTAGTGAACTAAATCACTGTAACAAAAGTTTAAGGTTCCATACTCCCAAAGTTACAAAACAATTTATGTATTTCTCTTTTTTTGCCATGTTCTTGCTAATTGCTAATATTAACCAGCCTAACCTAAAGTTTTTGGTTTTATTTAGATCTAAAAATTTTCAGTACGTTCTTTCCCGTAATCACTTTCTTTCATTAACAGAATGTCCAAGTGGTCATCTATACACCATAGGAGATGTGAGTACACTGGAGTAAAAAACTTCAGCATTTGTAACAAGATTTTATTTTATTTATAAGAAATGTAGAGCAGCATCTACAGCTGTTAAAAAAAGTCAAGATAGTTTTACAAATAGTTTGCAAGTAGATTTTTAAAGTTTTAATAGAACTTAAATTTTATGATTATAAAATTCAAATATTCCAGCATTATTAAAATAATCATAATTTTATATTTTCAGTGCGGCAGACCGTATGCAACAGGACGATGTCCGGAGTGCAATGCGCAGATTGGAGGAGAACAACATCGAGCTCATTCTGGGAACACGGAAGCAAACATGTACTTTAATCTTTACCATTATGTACAGGATTGACTAATTGTCATTACCTGTAATACTTATTTATATTGAACACTTTAAATTTAAATATTACTGTAATAATAACTAGCAAAAAGATCGATCTTGGAGTGTGTCATTACTCAATAGTTTATAGATACCAAATGCAAGATTATTTTTTAGGCCATATACTGTATATGTCGAATGGCATTTTTGCTACATTTATAATATTAGAACAGCCATTATGTCATTGCAGTAATACGTTTATTGTAAATGGAAGAAAAATTACCTTTTGAATAATTTATAAGTATTTAATAATAATAATTTAATCAAGAACATACGACAATGTGTCTTATAGTAACATGATGCCACATATAAAATTTGACTTGTATATTTTGAGGATTTAAATAGTCCCTTATATTATAAAGTTTATTTTGTAAACATACACCTTGGTATCAGCAGCAGTCACTTAAGTGATGTGTTCGACTACCCACTAAATATCGCCTAATGCAGTGGTACCATATAACCATTAACGGATTAATGAATTTTATATTTATATATGTTCTATTTAAAATATATGTTTGCTTTTTCAAACAGGGTTGATACAACGTCCACTGGTCATGTGCTTGGAAACCCACAGATTCAACAGGGCAACCAGATTGTGTGTGAACGAACAATGAACTGCATGGCAACTGCTGTTGTCCGGTTCTTGTTGCATGCTAGCATGCTACTAGGAACAGAATGCCAACAGGGACCACAGGTTAGGAATTATAGTATATTACCTTACCTTTCAGTAGACTTTGTCCTAAGTTAAAAAATAAATAAATAAATGAACATGCAAAACAGTCTGCATGCACAGTTTACTAGCATCACAAGGGTTTTGTTGTTAAGTGTGAATAAAATACAAATAAATGTCTCAATCCGGTCTAATATGAAAATAATTTTTTAAGAACAATAACTCTGCAATCAACTTCGAGCATGTGATGAAAACAATTACATTTTTGCTGAGTCGAACACTTTTTTTATAAAAAAAATTCATAAATTGGTTACCAGTTAATATACAGTTGGTCCTATTTTCTAAGAACGGGGAGCTATCAATGTGTGCAAATATGCAACGCTAGAACAGATTCACTCATGCTTGACCATCCTACATTTTCTGAACAAAATGGAGTTCAGCAAATTGCATCCTAAAATCCATGAAACTGCGAGATCGTATGCGCAGATGAATTCATGTGACGTCAATGCATTGTACGTCCTACGTCATCATGCAATCGAAAGCTCTTTAACATGGGAACTGTATTTGTGTTTTTAGATTGGCAGGAAAAGTATTTTCTAGGTCTTACCTCAATTTGAAAACAAAATTTTGCTTTCAAATACTTAATTTGTTTAGTTTATTAGGTTACACATAATTTTTATTTAAATATGTGGAAAAAAAATTCTTATTTCTATTTCAGCCAATCATCAATATAATCAAACCAGCTCCACTTAATGTGCTTGAGTTTCTATGGCAACATCTGCATAATGATGTAAGGTTGTTGTCAATAGCAACAGGCAAGAACAGGGATGATTGCATCTTCATCCTTCACAAAGTTATTGACAACATTTTGCACAAAAGAGTCCCAGGTAAAGTCCTAGAAAATAGAAATTGTATAATAGCAATATTAATAATTAATTCAATTATAACAATAGTAATGATGATGATGATATAATAATAATAACAATAACAATAATAATAATGCTGATTATGATAATGATGATTACCACAGCAGTGTTGGCAGTGACAGCAACTGCAACATTGATAATACTAATTTTGATTGCATTTATAGCAGACAAAACAATGTAACAATAAAACAAATTTAAAGAAAATATATAATAAGAATTAATATAAATTTCAAAATTTAATGAAAAATAATGATATTACAGTGATTCAGTGTTTAAAGTGAAAAGTTATGTTTGAAATTGGATTAATTTTCACAAGGAGAAAGAGTAACTTTACCTTGGTTGTACTGAGCTGCGGCTAAACAACAAATTGTAGAATTTGTGCATGTTTGTGGGCTTAATTCTTAATACAACAAAAGTAATATATTTTCACAATAAAATATTTTTCTAGCACACTTTCAATCTGGCTTTCAACAACTGTTGTCATCGAAGCAATGTCGAAAAAAATGGGAGGAAAATTTTACAGCTGCGTACATCACACCTCTGCTCCAGGTAGGATTAAGATTATTATACTGTATAGCAGTAATAATGATGATTTTGTTACTGATGATATTCATAATTAACTAATGGTGCTTAATATTCGTTTCCAATTAATGATTAAAATAACTGAAATTGAAATTATTAAACTAATCTGTAGGGACTTAATGAAATGATCGACCGATCAAATCAGACTCTGGTCTCTGACAAACGTCTCAGCGATGATCCTCTGATGCGACTGCTGCACACGTCAAATGTTGTGAAGCCTGAGGACCTGGGTAAGCTGGTGGAGACATCGCACGTATGGCAGTACCGTAGTCGTATCACCATTCAGTGCATCCATCAAGCTTTGGCAAATGAAGAAGATGGCGCTTCACTGCAAGTCCTCAGACTATTTATGGAAAAGGTTATTATCCACTTTCTTTCACTTGCATCTTTGCAGCTCTTTCTTGTGAAATGTAGGATGTAAATAGGATTAGATACAATAACCTACCTTTATTGTCATAATCACAACGGAGATACTCTATGCTAGGTATCATCATACTGCAGGTTTTATATTTTAGAATTGACTTGGAGTTTTGGAATTTGAATCTCGAAAATTTGAAATGCAAGCATGTCAACCAACATGTTATATTATTCAGATTAATGTTTGAGGAAGAGGGGGTGGGGAGGTTTGCAGCTCAGGTTTTCAACCTTGTGCTTCGGGGTTTTAGACTCCTGCTGTCCACTTCCGGAAAATAAAAATGAAAATTTATAGGCCTGTGGCACTATTGTTTTTCCGTCTGTGTTAATCATTCATTGCACAGCAATAGATTTTCATGGAAGATTATGTTATCAGGAATTTAGTAAATAAAACACTGTCTGATTGTCTAGTTTTTAAATCTTTTGGAGCGATTATTTACTACTTTATTACTGTTTATGCACAGGAGAAGCATCTTAGAGTTGTGCGACATTTGCCTGACATTATACGACTTCAGCGTCTCCTAATCAACAAATACAACAGGCACATTGACTCTGCAGAAGCTATCAACTTGAACATTTCCAGATTTTTGGATCAAATACATGGTAATCAAAGCTAGCATAATCATAAATGAGTACCATCTTCAGCATTATAAATCAAAAAGTATTTCTAAAAGTATAATAATGGATTACAGTAACAGGGTAAAGTGTGAATTAGGATATATGTGGATTGTAAGAGTTGAATCAACATCATCAGAATTGTTACCATCATAGATATTAACATCATCATCATTAACTTCATCACTAACAGCTTCATCATCCTCATTGTCATCATTATCACCATCATTATTGAAAATAGAAAATTATGTTAATTATGTCATTTTTAATATATTTAAATATATACTTTATAGTATTAAACTTTTATAGCATTGAAGGTTGAAAAAATAATGTTTAATATTTTACTGGGGTAGTACACTAAATGTCTTTTTTTTCTCTTGCCATTGCAGTAACAGAGAGAGAAGAGTTTAAGAGATTGATTGACACATTTATTGATGTCTGGAATTCTGTCAAACTAGATGTCGCATTGACAGGTAGTGGGCCAGTTTTTATTTTTTAATGACAATAGAACAATTTATTATGATGTGAGATTGCAAATTTAAATTTGATTTCAATATCAAAATAAAGAAATTTAAAACTATTATTAATTAAAAAAAAAAAAAAAAAAACCTATTCTGAATTTACTAAAGATTTAGATAGTACAATATTTAACATTGAAAGTCAAGAGAATCATACATATTTCAATACCGAAATAAAGAAATTTAAAACTATTATTAATTTAAAAAAAAAAAAAAACCTATTCTGAATTTACTAAAGATTTAGATAGTACAATATTTAACATTGAAACTCAATCGGCTGATCTGTTGTTAGTTACTGTTTGTGCACTGAACTGTGGTAGTCCTTCCAAACGTCTGGTCTCTCGTTCAATTTCTATCGCTGTTCTCCTTATGGTTTAGCTGGCGAACAAGTTTACAATAGTGCACCATCATTCAGATGAGACATTTAAGCCATTGGTTCTACATGCATTTTAGCCCGTATCATAGTTACCAACCATCTGGCATCATGCGGGACGGTCCCGCATTTTAAAGTGATTTTGGTTGAAACACGCATTTTGCCAAAACACATATGTGATCACAAATTTGTCACGCATTTAGCACAAGTATGCGTGATAACGAATTTAATTCAGGGGAAAATGTATTTAAAATACACTGACGCTTAACTAAAAATTGATCAGTATGCCTAGGCCTATTCATTTTTTGTCTGTTTGAGTAATGAAATGTGTACATAGGCATAGTTCGGGTGCTCAGATTAAACATAGGCCTACATTGAAACACAAATTGTATGTGGCTATATTAAAATATTTTTGTTATGTACATGATGTTGTCAATAAACACTCTCTGAAATTGTTTTAAAACAGCTTAAAAATGTAGTCACTCACACATTTCAAATCTCTCAGGTTTTTAACTGCCTTATGCATGTGAAAGAATGAAGTCCACTCTTTGTTATTAATAATAATGAACATAATTTCATATAAATGTTGATGTTTACCTTTCAGTGAAGTTGCCTATCCCAAAAGAGTGTTGTTCAGAGGTCATGTCACATGAGAGTAACATAGCGATGTTGCTACCAACGAGGCGAGACTCTGGTCTGTGTGCTACTGGTCTTGTTGACTTCCTCATCTTTACACAAAATGAATTTCTAGACAGATACCATAGTATCAAACATTTACAGATGAGGTAATATTTTTAAAAATTATTTAAGTCTGTCTCTACAATATAATGAATGAATTTCAACTAATTACTATAAGGGAACATTCAAACATTAAACTTCTGACAGCAAATTATTTACTACATAATTAAAATTTAGTTTAAACTGTTCACCTTTAGGAATTACAATGACCATCCATTATTGTATTAAGACACTCACTGAAGATCAAATGTTACCATAATGATGTCATTCTTTTTTCAGCAAAGTCAAAGTTGATCCATCTGACCTGCTTATGTCACACCTGATTGCGTATGATCCAGACCGTGACCTGCTTCCACTGATTCTATCCCAGTGCCAATACATTGTAAGACCAATGGCGGAAAATAAAATTGAATACAACCTGCAAGGTTTAGAGCTGCAACTCATTGAGAGGTTTGTCAGGGGGCGTGCATCTATTGATCGCAAATTTGATCAATTATTTTTCCGACAAGACGTCAGGAATGCCTCTATATTTGAAAATCTGAGAGACAAGATACCGCAGGTAAGTAGATATTACCAACACTTTCATTTATTGTTGGGAACAATATTTTGCTGGGTGTTAATTGACCTTTCTGTTAAACCCCACCTGTTGATATTGTTATAAGCTCACAAAAGGACAGCACATGTTCCTGGGCCAGTTTTGATTGATCAGTTAGTATTGAGTTTAATGACACTTGGGATGGTCAGGGCCGGATCCAGAGATGTCGAAAAGGGGGGCCCGAAATTTGGGCTGATCGAGACAACAATGTCCTAGGGGGTCCGGGGGCATTCCCCCGCGAAATTTTTGTGTTCTAGACGCCGGAAAATAACATTTGAAGCGTTGTGGGCTATCACTTTTTTCTTTTCTTTCTTTTTTTCTTTTTTTCCCCCCTTTTTTTACCTCCCAAAAAGGGGGGGGGCGGGGCCGGGCCGCCCCCCCCCCCAAATCCGCCCCTGCGCTTTACACATCAGGTGCTGATTGTACTGTTGTTTTATGTATTAAAATTTTGTTTTTTCACCTGGAAATTGAATAAAATAAAATAAAATCGTGAGTTATATTGTCATGAACCTTGGCAAAACAAAGAATAATCAAACAGGAAGATATTGTTATTTCTTGCAACAACAAAAAAATGAAAGTAGGCAGCACAGTCAATTCAAAAGACATACAGTATCTCATTAGCTTGAAAAGTTCCTGTAGAAAAAGCACACATTTATATGGAAGAGGAAGTCTGTAGTATATGATCAGACCAGGTTCCAGCTATACTGGGTGCAGCACCACTTATATTTGATTTGCAGACCGTTTCATGAATACTGGATGAACCGAACAATGCATATTTTCATGTAGCTACTCATCCAACCAATTGGCTGCCTCCTTACCAATTCAGGGCCTCCCCATTCGTTCAATCTACAGTGCCCAGAGTTTTTAAGTCGCATCGTAAAGTTTCTAGGTTCAATTTTTCATGTAAAGGGCAAGTTTTTATGTAGCTAGGCGACTGGTGGGGGAAGGGAGGTTGGCCCCCCCAGCCCCCACCAATGGTATTGTGGATCTTGTCCTAGACTGTCGTCTCCTCAGGTTATCTCTCATAGTTTTCTTTTCTCCCGCATCCATAACATTCATTCCACATTGCAAGTATGTACCACATCCTCTTCCGATTTACTGAATGGACGACTACATGAAAATAAGCATTAATCAGTTTATTCAGGTAAGTATCTCACTCGCAGACCACCAACTTCACCGCTGATTTATGTACAGTATTACAGTATTCAACTTTAAATTTTATTCTTTAATACCAACCTGAATTCTTTTGACATGTTTGCCATATATTGTATTTTACTTCTCAGAAAGGCTAATTAATACTGTACTGTTGTTAAAATAAGAAATCTCTTTCTTTACAGGATATCCTACACACTGGAAGCACATAGAAATAAAAATGAAAATAGTGAGATTCCTGGCCTGGATCTGTTCCCAGACACACTATTATTGAGTCAAGCTGTCGAAACTTGGAAGGCCATTGCACAGTTTCACTGCAGACAGTCTGTGCAAGGCTAATCTTGTACCAATGCAGAACAGAAGACAACTCACACTAAGTCACACGTCATATTAACTCACATACCAACTTTATCTTAATGAATAAAAATATATGATCTTGTTCTTGTTTAATTCAGTTAACAATTTTAGATAAAACACTAAAAGTTAAAATAATGTAGATACGCAATGGTTTCATTAATGGTAATGCAGTTTTTAGATTGCTTACGATTAGGTTATTTGATATAATTTCATTGTACCAACATACAGTATTTCAAATTTCAGAACTATTTTTTCAATTTTTAATTTTGCTTTAAAATACAATTCTTCAAAAAAATTGATTTATCAGTAGAGCTGGTAGAGGGTGCCATGTCACTAAAAGCACCTAAATTCAGTGCTTGATGAAGAATTTAAATTTAGCACGTATGTGTTAAAAAAGAATTGGACTAAACAATGATTGTAATGGATAAGTGGGCTTTATAGATTTCAAGTAACATTCCTGAACATGCAGGATATAATGTGTTGTAATTTTAATTCATCATATTATTTTATTATCAAAAATATAATATAACAATTGACATTTGATAATATTTTTTCTGTAATTTAAGGACAAAAGAAATGTTGCAAAACTGATGTTATTTTAAAATCTTGATGTCTATCAGTGTAAATATGAGAAAATGCTTTGCTTATAGTTATTACTCGCCTTGAAAATTACTTAGTTTGTATTTTAGTACTTACTGTAACTGAGCTTTAATGCATTACTTTGTTAATTATTTCTAAAATGCCAAATACAATTTTTAATAGTAATAATACAATAATTCAAATGATTTTAACACGGAAATCTTTATTTTCTTCAAACACTGTAGATACAAAGAAAGACATTAATTAAATTGAAGGAGGCATAATCAAAAAGCAAACATTTGTAATAGTCATGCCTAGCAAAGAGGACACAAAACATGTACTGATGAAAGTAAGATACAAATAAAAAAAAATAAAACATTAATTAAACAATTAATCTAGAAAAAGTATGACAAGGATGTGTAGTACCACCTCCCTTGTATGACTCAAAAAAACAATTTAGCTGTAACAATTATAAATCAAAAATATACAGAGAAAATACCAGTTCAATTATAGAAACATGGTAAGACTTTTCATAATTAATGATGCAATAGTTATTCTGTATCCAGTAATTTTATTTGTGTTAGTTACTGTATACTGTACTTAAATTATACTGCTGGTTATTTTTTCCAGTGTATGTATCTATATACTGTATACATTTGTGATTTGTCTTTCTGCATCTTCTCAAGTCTTTCTACATCTTATTTTTTAAATAACATTTACTCAAGTTTGTATAAGGCAGTACATCTATTCAAATTCACACCAGTTGAAAATGTTACTACGTAATACAGTATTAGAGATTGCTAGATATAATTAATAAATCATTGTTATTGTAGCATTATTGCATGGATTAATATGTATTATGGGAGTCCAGTTGGACAATCCCCATTTTGTTTATTATTGAATAAACCAAAATACAGTAGAAAAAATATGAAGTTTCAATTTTCTCTTGTTTGCATAAACAATTTTTCCCATGTCTATGAGTAAGTATGATATCTCATGAATAAATATTAACCACGTGTAAAAAAGCAGTATGAAAAACATCTTTTAATGTTCTCACTTGACGCGGGGTTCCCGGAACGCCGCCCTCAGCGGGGAGTGCAAAGCACAAATCAGGGTCAAAAGTGGAACGTGAAATTTATTTGGATACCAGTATGGTTTCGTAGTCAGATTTGCGAGAAAAACTTCAGCTACCCGTATTTCTCGACTGAGACGTCAGTGGGAGCTGTAATTTGTATGGCAAGGATATTGTGCAAGCCTTAATTCGTATTAAGGGAATTTGCGCCCAGAAACCTTGTAGTTATTAATATTTTGGTTATAATAGAAAATATTCATTTTTGGTGACGTCACACTCACAATATAGTTAGCATGCATACGTCATAAGCTAGATTACGTCACCTTTTCCTGGTTAGGCAAACTATCCCGGCATGCTTTTTTCATGCATAAACAAACACCACTGCTTTGCACATGGATGCCTTGTCCTAGCTAGGGATACAAGAGCCGCATTGTAAGCATTGTATAATAGGTACAAGGTACCTCTGCAACTGAATTATTCTTAGTTATTTGTTTTTGTTTTTTTATTTTTATTTATTTCTTTTGAAAGTGTACTTTCTATCACATATTATTGCACTGGCCTAGCCCTAGTCTTATTATGTATGCCTCATCGTCATCCGCTACACAGTACATAAGTAGCGCCCCATCCCCCCCCCCCCACAGTACAGACGTTTGCTGGGCAACGATTTGATTGAACCTTCCTTCCCAGGTGTTCATGTATTGGCATATTGTTAGCTAACCAGTTGTTAGGTCACACATTACTCTCCATAACACAGCACCCCCTAGTTCCGTCACCTCTGGGTTTTTTTTTTTCTTTAGTAAATCTTTTAAATCCGCATTGAACGATATCAGTCTGATATCTGAGTAATCTGATAAGTTTGCTTCAGTGCTTTTAACAAAATTAGAGATGTTTCCCTAATAACGGAGGTCATGGTAATTTTGGTTCCTTCCTCCTGTAGCGCCTTGAGCACTAACTGCAGTGGATTGTGCGCTTTATAAATATTATTATTATTATTATTATTATTATTATTATTATTATTATTATTATTATTATTATGAAACATATTTTCACAACTATTTTATAGCATTGCAACGTTGCATAACACATAGCAGATACAAAAATAAATAAGATGAGATTGTACTACCATGAAAGTGTTCCAAATATCAGGAAAAGTATATATATAGGCCTAGGCATACCGGTAAAAATCTTTGAAAATATAAATTCCCAAGAATACCGCATGCTTATCATTAACGCATGACACATGTACCTATATAACCATATTGGCCATTCGTAGGCATTATGCTTTTTGGCATTCTTTGGACCCTGTAGTAGCATTTATGTATGCTACGCATAATTTCATGAATTCGTAGCACAACGTAGCATAATTTGGATTAATGTAAATTTCATTCGACAATATTCTCATGTTATTACTGAGTCTATTAAGCCTTTTCAGGGTCATTATCGACATTGTATGTTTGCATTGTTTGTTGGCCATTCCGACCCTCAATAAGAGGACTCAATGCTGAATAAATAAGATAGTCACTATAGGAACAACGCGTGATGAGATAACAACGACGAGTAAATTTGTGGTTGAGACCATTCATTTAGGGAATGAAATTTAACAGTATCAAGAATATCAATTATTTCATTGATGCATAGGCCTATAAATTATAAAAAGAGTTGACGTTGAAACGATTCTGTAGAATTACTTAAAAACTATATTTTAAGAGGAAAAAATAATATAAAATGTGGGGTCTATGAGTTTATAGGCCATATATTGGCGGCGTTAGGCAAGCCCGATTTGGTTTTGGATTTTCCAATGTGCAAAACTAAAATTATGAAATGGGAAAACCACTTTCTACGAAATGTTTTTTCGTGATAAGTTGAGCAAAAATCATTATTCATTAGTGTCCAGAGGTATTAAGCGCATGCGCAATCGCGCTTTGCCTAACTTATTTCGCTGCAGCTTTCTCGATTTTCACCTCGCGGGGAGTGAGGAGTACGAGGAGTGAAGGTTGGATTATCGGTGGGGTGTTGATGCTTGCTGTAAGACGTCCGTGTTATGCTGTAATAAATTATAAGCAAGTTTTCATTAAAATAACAAATAAATGGGGCCTAGCATAGGGCATATATTATATACTTCTAGCCTGGTGCGAAAATTTTAGGAAATAGTAGCTCTCCTCTAGATGGCCAGAAATGACACTTTTAGTAAAATTCATCATCATCACATCACCATTATATAAAGCTCCAACAAATTTCTCGTGATTTTTTATAACGGATTTTCGGCAACCATAGAGGTCTTATTAATATGTGTGATGTACCACAGAAAAAAAAGCTTAAAAACACTGTCTTTGATGTATGTACCTTACATACTTCAAAGCCATGATTTTGCAACCACCTCAGCCCCAACATTATTGGGGCTCAGGTGGGAAAATTTGAGGAAATAGTACCTCAGAAGGTCGGAAATGACACTTTTATGTAGTACATTTATCATCATCACATCACCATATTATAATCAAAACGAAGAGCCAACAAATTTCTCACGATCTTTTATCAGGGATTTTTGGCAACCATAGAGATCTACTTAATATTCAGGCCCAACTGTACTAACTTTAACTAAAATAATAATTATGATTGACAAATCAAAGGTTTCCTTTTCACCTTTAGCAAAATTTTTAATATTATTATTATTATTATCTATTATCATAATCGTCATCATCATCATTATTATTATTACCTCTACTACTAGTACTGAGTATTATTAAACAAAACTTTTAAATGCCTGCAAATTAAAAGGATAGAAACCAAACTGAACCATACAATATCATGTTTTTGTATTTAAAAGACATAGCCTGGGGGATATATGGATTTAAGGCAAATTTAAGTTGATTTTTTTTTGTTAAGCATGTTTTCTAAATCCACCCCTTGAGAAGTATAGTCGTTATAAATCCGAAAATTTAAATTTTTGCATTATTGTGTACCGTAAAAAATTGATTAACAAATATTTCACTGGGTTACTTTCGGGTTAGCGGGTGATTTTCATTGATAGAAGTTTATGGTGGGTTTTCTATTGGAGTAGGCCTACGGGTCACAAACCACAGTAGATGAGTCAATTAGTAATTTTGCAGTATTTAAATCAACACCAAGCTATGT